AAAAAAAAAAAAAATTTACATGCAGTATCACATCAAATTTCACATATAAATAAGAAAATTTTCTCACTCCCTTTCGTTACTTAATACTACATATACAAAAGAAATCGGAAATTTCAGCATTTTACCATTTGTACAAACGAATCAGCAATTTACCGTATATACAGATGAATTACCAATTTACCGTAATACGCAAAATGATTTTTTTACGCAATTTGATTTTTTTTTTTGACGCGTTACTAATTTTCCAACATGTCACTTTTTTGTCAGGGTTGACGATGGTAAAAAAAAATATTATCAGTCAAAAAATTGTTAAAATTGACTCAAATACAGATACTTTTAAGGAATTGTATGATGTAATTACAAAAGATCTGGTTTCTATTACACGAAGTGTTCATGTTTACTATGTGGGAGAAATCAATAATAAATGGATTTATGTTGAAGAAGGACTATATGACGAAATGAAAGTAGTTCTAGAAATCAAGAGATTCAACAAAATCAAACAAATATTTTTGACACCATGACGGATGCAAAGAGCTCATCAACCTTACTTTCCTATGCAAAAAAGAGAAGATACTCAACGTGATACTTTATACAATGATGTTATTTCTTTATTGAGAAAAAATCAAAAATATGGGTGGAGTGGCGTAAATTCAGAGTCAATTGCTAAAAAATTTGTGGATAGACTAGTTGCTCTTCTCTGGTATATTGATCCACACTGGGAAAAACTAATTTCTCGTTCATTAAAATTACCAGATATATTCAATGAATTAGAGCAATATCAATGTAACGAAAATTACAATAAGTTTTATTTTACTGGACATCATAAAAAGGAGCAGCTTTCACGTGAGAAAATTGAGCAACTGGTTAAATCATTAGAATCATCTATTGAACAACCTTGGGCAAGCAAAGATAAATGGATGGATTTTATTATTCAAGTTCTTTTACTGATTGAAAGTATTAAAAAGTATATCTCTTATTTGCAAGAGGTTAATCAAAAAATGAATACAATACATTACAGTGATGTCTCAACACGTAATCCTGGTTGTGATTTAAAAGTATACACAATTGAAGTATCTGACAGCATTCATTCCAAATATGAAGAACTCTCTAATTTTTTGCTTGAAAAAGATTCTTATGAGTTTTTTGATCTTGATGAATATACACCATATGATGTAATACAAAAATACAATTACATCAAAAATTTGCCACTTAATGTTCCTGTAACAATTTACCGGTATTATCAGGGTAATTATCTTGGAACTGTTAACTATATTTGGAAAGTTCCAGTAAGGAGTGACCATCGATCAGAAACAGAAAATGCCCGCATAATAGCAGCAATTAATGAAAATTTGCCAAAATATTATACACGTCAGATGCGCAAGAATGCTTTAAAAGAAGTGAGTTTTTTGTACAATGTATTACTATTATGATTGAATTTATAATAGGCGAAACTAATACAATTTTTTTCAAGTATTCTCTTTTTAAAAAGGTTACACCAGTTGTACTTCGAACTTTATATTTTGACTTAACTGGTGATGCCTCTACAACAAATAATGTAATTAGCAAAGAAATTGAAGAACGTTTACGTATAATGATGCAGCTTGAGGATCCATCAATTATTGTTGATCTGCGTACTAATAATGGATTTAAAGGAAAAGAGTTTAATCGTTTCTGAGATGAGATGGGAGCATATTTTAACGAAGTAGATATTTAAGTTTAATTATTTACGTATTTTATTTAAATTTTATTTAAAGAATTTATTATTGCTTATAGAATACACCTGCAGTTGATGATAGACGGCAACAAGAAATTTTGTATATGCCAATTGCAATTTCAATAAAACTAATACTCGGAAAAGAAAAAGAAATGATCTATAAGTTTATAATAGTCATTAAAATATAATGAGCAATTTCAAATAAATAATAATAATAAATATTTTTTATGCAAAATAGAAACTTTATTCTATTATATTGTTATAAAAATTTTGGCCAAAATTAAGAGTAATTCTGACTGAAATTATATTTGTTCAACTTACTTATTGTTGTTCAACTTCCCCTCCCCCCCCCTAAGCTGTAGTATTGTATATTATGTTAAACACACTTTTTGCTTGGTTAGGCCTATACTGTATGTGATCAATTGAGTAAAGTTACAATATTAATAATTGTTAAAGTCATTTTTTTTTTTGGTTATATAGTGTTCAAACCATAATAAGCCACGATAGAGAATTAAATTTTGTGAAAATAAATATAACGAATATCAAAGCCACGTAATTCGACTTTTCTATCGAAAACTGGATCGTGTTAACAGAAAAACAAATTAATTAAATCAATTAAATTTTGATAGTATATAATAATTAATTCTTTTTTTTTAAAAAAAAAAAAAATTCTTTTTTAGTATAGACGTTTTAAAAAAATTTATATACTAATAAAAATAATAATAATGATTTTATTATTTGCATTTAAATTTTTGGGCGTCTTAATCTTAACAATTCTAGTTATTATATATTTATTAGCGTTCAATCATACTATACACTACCGAAATAAATTTAAAGATGAAAATAAAATTATATTTAAAGACAAGTTATTTGTAAAGAATTATTTAAACAATTTGTTTTGTTCAAATTTAATAATGAAGGGACGTGTAAAAACGTAAAATATTAAACTTTGGTAAATTATAAGCTTAAATTGTTGTTTATTTTTTATAAAATATAAAAAAATACAGTAATTATTTAAATTACAAACTAAGGAAATTGTAAAATATTTTACTACTCTAGCCATAGTGTTTAAATAATTCAGAATATAAATTTAAATAATTTAAAAAAAAAATAGAATCAATATAATAATCGATAGTTCATTTTACATTCGTTTAAATATCTAAAAAAATTTTATTAATGGTAAAAAAAATATTTTCAGTAATTTATGGTCAAATAAATTTAAAATATCCTAAATACATATAATCTTACCATCAGGAATTTCAAACTCATCTTGTTCCTCCGAATGAAAATTTGGATTATTACATATCTCATCTTCATCTATAAAATAGTACAATATATCATAAAATTAATAAAATTAAAAATATTAATGTAAAATTAATTAGTTTTAAAAAATATTTATATACCACTAATATCAATATGATAATTTTTTATTTGTTGTTCGTCTTTAATAAAATTATTTTGGGTATCTAAATAATAAAAATTATTATTATAATTAATAGTTATTAATTGTTTTTCCAGTTAGACCACAAACCCTTTGAAAAAACGAACATCTAGTTTAGGTTGCCTTGGCTCCCCTTGGCCTGATCTCCTTAGGAAGCAGCCTGCTACGACTCAATATATTATCTATTTTTATATTATTCGCCTACCATTTTCTGAATTTATTTGTAATTCATTAAATTTTGTTAGTAAGTCTTTGTTATCGCCTAAAAAGTATTAAATATTAATTGTTTAGTATATATAAAAAGATAACGTTGCTAATTCTCCACATTTCGGGGTTCAGAAGAAGAGTTAGTAGATGATAAATTCAATAACTTGCGGATGAAATTACCTTCAAAATTATTACTTATTGTTGATGATGCACTATTGCTTTTCTGATTAGTACTTGATTTATCAAAATCATCAACTAAAAATAGAAAGAAATCAATTAGTATGTAATATTTTATTTAAATGATGATTTAATCACTTTACTTACTATTATCAGGAATATGAAAATCATGTGGTTTACTGTGAAATTCTAAATTACATATAGTATATAAATTAATTATACTATTTCTCATAAGTAAATAATTTCAAAATACTGTAAAAATCTTACCTTCTTGTTCTTCTGTTATTGTAAATTAAATAAAAAGAAACACATTACATATAATAATTTTTAATATAAAAGACAAATACTATATATATAATGCTCAAATACCTTCAGTTGCATTTCTTGGTTCAGGAAAATTTTCAAATTGGTGAATTTTACTTGTAAATAATTTGTTATATGTATTTGTAAAACCTGATTCTAAATTATTAGTTATATTGGTTTGAAATGATTCATTTGGCATGTTTTGATATGATAAATCAATTTCTCTTATTTTTCTTAGAAGTTCACTGATATTAAGTCTTTTTGATGGATCGGCATCCCAACATTGTACAATTAAATTTTTATATTCTAAAGGAGTTCCTGATACTATTCTTGGCCTTATACCATTAATTATATTCATTGCAAGATCATAATCATGTTCATAATTAATAAATGGTGGTTGTCCAGATGAAATCTCCCACATAAGCATTGCAACACTATAAATATCAGATGCTGTTGTAGTTTGTTTTCCAGAAATAACCTCAGGTGCTATATAGGGAAGATTTCCATATATACTTTTTGTTGGTTTATCTGCAGGGCCACAAAATCCAAGATCACTAATACGCCACCTATCACTTCTTGGAGAATGCAATATATTTCCAGAATGCAAATCTCTATGAATTACATTTTTTTTGTGAATTATAGCAAGTGCACTAATTATCCTGTGAGCAATAAAAATTCTTACTTTCCAAGTAAGTTGATTATGATTTTGTTGCAAATATTTTCTCAAATCTATACCCAATCTATCCATTACAAGCATATAATTTTTTTTTAATGGATCTTTGGTTAAGCCAAAACACTGAACAAAATATGCATCTTTATTACTGATGGTTAAATGCGATATAGCCTATAATACAAAAATACAGAAATTATTAAGTAAAAACTTTTGATAACTTAAGATTATAAAAATGTTTTACAAACCTCTTCAAACCAATTTCTGTTTGTACTTTCCAAATTTTCTAATTTTTTAAGTATTACTTTTATATTATCAGATTTTTCTAATTTCTGTTCTTTAAAATCCCATACTTTATATCTTCCACCAATCCATTTTGCTGTAAAGATTTCAGAAAATCCACCTTTTGTTAGATATTTAATATTTTGTAAATTATTATATGGAATCCATTCAATTATCCTTGTTGGATTAAGTGTTTCCATTTGGCATTTTTGTATTAAATTATCAATATCATCATTCCCAGATGTCCAATTTGAAAATTCTGTTCTTAAATAATTTCGAATACAATATTCACACCATAATGTGGCCAAACATTCTTGATTACAATTCTCACAAATTCTTTTTGTTCCTGAATTATAATAAACTTTTCTTCTGTCATAAGTTTCGCTTATTTTTTTTATTGCTTTAGTTTTTTCATCTTCTGTAAGGGAATTATCAGCAAGAAGTGTTTGTTTTTGAAATTCATATTGTTTGTGTAAGTCATTGTAAATATTGAAATCCATTAATGCTTGCATTCTATTAAGTGCTGCTTGAACTTTACTAATAGTAGACATAATGAAATTTTACTATAAAATATTTAATTTATTCAAAAAGCAAGATGAAAAAAAAAGTTCGGGTTATTCATTTATAAACTCCGAAATATTTACTATTAAATTAATCGTGTAACCACAATTCAATCACGCGTGAATACAGATTTACAAGTGCGCCAGCAAGCAATTTTATTGGTGCATCGTGCATATTATTTCCCGTAAGTTGTACCAGGATTTAAATTTAATTAAAAAATTTTTAATTGAACCAAAACTATTTTACGCAATAATTAGTCTGATACGTTTTCATGCAAAAAAAATACAATAGAAAATTTCACAATTATAATCACTCTACAATCATCTAAAATATAAGCTTGTAAGGCATTGGCAAGAAGAAACACATAATAACTAATTGCTGTGACATATTTAGCGTGGATTATTTATTCAACAGCAAATAAAAAGAAATATTGGAAGGATTTTTTAACTAAATCATCTCATACAGTATATGAGGTTTTTATTATTTGTTCATGCGTTGAAATGATGTAATAAATATTAATAAATATCAATTATTTCGAAAAAATGTTGAATTAATTCGGAAAGAATATTCATTGATGCGTTATTTAATTATTTTAAAAATTTGTATTTACAAATAAATAAATATTTATAATGAAATAATTAATGGAATATGCAATGTTTTTTCGTAAAATATTTATTTCAAAAAAAAAAAAATACGATAATAAATAATTATAAATTTAGATTGTTAAATCATTGATATACTACATGTGATCATTTGAGCAAAGTTACAATATTAATATTTGTTAAAGGCTTCATTTTTTTTTATTTGGTCATATAGTGTTCAAGCCATAATTAAGCCACGACGTAGAATTATATTTTGTGAAAATAAATGTAACGAACATCAAAGTCACATAATTCGACTTTTCTATCGAAAACTGGATCTTGTTAACAGAAAGACAAATCAATGAAATCAATTAAATTTCGATATATAATAATTAATTCTTTTTTTTTTAAAAAAAAAAAAAAATTCTTTTTTAGTATAGACGTTTTAAAAAATATATATATATTTTTTTAATAAAAATAATCAATAATGATTTTATTATTTACAATTAAATTTTTGGGCGTCTTAATCTTAACAGTTCTAATTATTATATATTTATTAGCGTTCAATCATACTATATACGAAATAAATTTAAAGATGAAAATAAAATTATATTTAAAGACAAATTATATTTATAAAGAATTATTTAGACAATTTTCTTTGTTCAAATTTAATAATGAAGGACGTGCAACAACGTAAAATATTAAACTTTGATAAATTATAAGCTTAAATTGTCGTTTATTTTTATAAAATATGAAAAAAAATACAATATTTATTAAATTACAAACTAAGGAAATTGTAAAATATTTTACTACTCTAGCCTTAGTGTTTAAATAATTCAGAATATAAATATAAATAATTTTTTTTAAAAAACTGAAATAATGAATCAACATGATAATCGATAGTTTATTTTACATTCGTTTAAATATCTAAAAAATTTTTATTAATAGTAAAAAAAAATATTTTCAGTATTTTAAGGTCAAATAAGTTTAAAATATTCTAAATACATGTAACAAACATTATTACCATCAGGAATTTCAAACTCATCTTGTTCCTCTGAATGAAAATTTGGATTATTACATATTTCATCTTCATCTATAAAATACAATATATCATAAAATTAATAAAATTAAAAATATTAATTAGTTTTAAAAAATATTTATATACCGCTAATATCAATACGATAATTTTTTATTTGTTGTTGTATCGTTTCGTCTTTAATAAAATTATCTTGAGTATCTAAATAATAAAAATTATTACGATAATTAATAGCTATATATTATCTATTTTTATATTATTCGACTTACCATTTTCTGAATTTATTTGTAATTCATTAAATTTTGTTAGTAAGTCTTTGTTATCGCCTAAAGTATTAAATATTAATTATTTAGCATATATAAAAAGACAACGTTGCTAATGCTTCACATTTCAGGATTCAGAGGAAGAGCCAGATGACGAATCCAATAACTTGTGGATGAAATTACCTTCAAAATTATTAATTACTTTGCAGAAACCTTTGGTTTTTACAAAATATGTTAGCGATATTTTTAAAATATACCAGACATATGATATTCCTATTTATGTTATCTCTGTTTTAACTATATGCTGACAATATGTTGAACATATAATATAAAAATCTTATTTTTATATAGTAACTATATGTTAGAGACATGGTAAAATATTATTTTGAATGTTAAATTTATATGGTTATTATATGCCAAATATGTGTCAGAGATGTGATAAAAATATTATTTGAAATATTAATTTTATATAGCCATCATATGGTAAATATGTATCAATAATATAATAGAAATTCAATTTTATATAACAATCATATATTGAAAATATATCGAAGACAGAGTAATAATAATAAAATAATATAATAGCCATGTTTCAAAAATAATAAAATAATATAATGATTGTATGATAAAAATTTCGATTTAAATTAAAATTTCCTCCAATAAATTCATGTACGACTTGATTTTTGAAAGAATTTCTCTAGTGTAATATAATAATATAATGTTAGCAATATAGTTGTCTAGCTGATTAAACTGCAGTATAATAAAAACTATTTAAAACATAACTTCAATTAGCCTCATCATGCTTGGTGCTACATGTACTTTTATATTCGTGAATAAAGTGAATTTGAGACGTGATCAATAAAATTGATTGGAAAGATTCAAAACTAACGTGATTCTTCCAGCTTCTGAATATTATAAAGTGGACATCTTGATATAAAATCAACATAGTTCGTCACCTGAAATTAAATAAAAAATAGTGTAAAATTTGACCATTGTTTGCTTTATAGCATATGCGACACCTTTAAATTCTTCATTTAGATCTACAATATCGCCAATATGAAGTTTTAATCGTACAGGTTCTTGATTGTCTTTAATAACCATGTATGAAATTGAACTATAAAATTCTATGTTTTGTTCAATATTGCTGCACTTTAATTTAAATAATCTGCATAAGCTCTATAGAGATTTCGATAAAATGGATGATTATCAGCCAACTTTCTTGATACGTCTTTACACTTAACTTTTTTGGCACTCCATTGATCTTTAATAGCCACCTCTATTTCCAGAAAGAATCAGCAAAACCTAAAAGAGAAAAACCAAAGAATAAACTGTTAATAAGTTGTTAAAATAAAATTATTAAGAAAAAAAATTAAAATTACTTACCAAAATTTCATATCCAAAGATTTGAGAGAACGCCTTAAAAAACATAAAATGAACAGTTAGAAACCATTTGTTAAAAGGCGAAAAAAATTTTGAAAAGTGAAAACATATACTTACCAAAATCCAATATCTTAAGAAATCCGAAAAACTGTCTAAAAAAAAAAAGAAATGTATTAGAAACTGTTCGTTGAAAGATGGAAAAGTTAAATAAAAAAATAGTCAAAAACTTACCAGAATGTAACCTCTAAAAAAACCTGAAAGAACCATCTAAAAAAAAAGAAAAAACGAACAGTTAGTAACTATTTATTAAACTAAAAAAGAAAAAAATAAAAATTTTACTTGCCGAATTCCCACGTCCAAAGAGACTCAAAGAATTACCTAAAAAAAAAGAACTAAAACTGTTAATAATAGTTCGTTAAAATATTAAAAAAAAAGAATGAAAAATATATTTACCGAAATCTGGTTTCTTAAAAAATAAGTTTTGCAAAAATTGCGAAACTTTCTATATTCAGAAAAAAAAATGGAACCTACAAAGAAATGAGAAAAGTTAGTAACTTTTCTCAAAAAAAAAAGTAAAAATTTGTTCGTAAAAACTTACTATATCAAAATCGAACCCAAAAAGGAAAAAGCTTATTTTTAGTTTAAATAAATAACTGCGGCTGTGGCTGCGGTTATATTAATATTGTATCACATGATTCATGTGATATATAATTTTATATAAAATAGTATAAATAGGAGGCTTCCCCGAAATAAAATTTTTTTTTTTTATATTTTTAATGATATTTATATGTGCTCATATATATACACACATATATATCTGTCTCTTATACACATCTAGATGTGTATAAGAGACAGGTATATAATAATTAATTCTTTTTTTTTAAAAAAAAAAAAATTCTTTTTTAGTATAGACGTTTTAAAAAAATTTATATACTAATAAAAATAATAATAATGATTTTATTATTTGCATTTAAATTTTTGGGCGTCTTAATCTTAACAATTCTAGTTATTATATATTTATTAGCGTTCAATCATACTATACACTACCGAAATAAATTTAAAGATGAAAATAAAATTATATTTAAAGACAAGTTATTTGTAAAGAATTATTTAAACAATTTGTTTTGTTCAAATTTAATAATGAAGGGACGTGTAAAAACGTAAAATATTAAACTTTGGTAAATTATAAGCTTAAATTGTTGTTTATTTTTTATAAAATATAAAAAAATACAGTAATTATTTAAATTACAAACTAAGGAAATTGTAAAATATTTTACTACTCTAGCCATAGTGTTTAAATAATTCAGAATATAAATTTAAATAATTTAAAAAAAAAATAGAATCAATATAATAATCGATAGTTCATTTTACATTCGTTTAAATATCTAAAAAAATTTTATTAATGGTAAAAAAAATATTTTCAGTAATTTATGGTCAAATAAATTTAAAATATCCTAAATACATATAATCTTACCATCAGGAATTTCAAACTCATCTTGTTCCTCCGAATGAAAATTTGGATTATTACATATCTCATCTTCATCTATAAAATAGTACAATATATCATAAAATTAATAAAATTAAAAATATTAATGTAAAATTAATTAGTTTTAAAAAATATTTATATACCACTAATATCAATATGATAATTTTTTATTTGTTGTTCGTCTTTAATAAAATTATTTTGGGTATCTAAATAATAAAAATTATTATTATAATTAATAGTTATTAATTGTTTTTCCAGTTAGACCACAAACCCTTTGAAAAAACGAACATCTAGTTTAGGTTGCCTTGGCTCCCCTTGGCCTGATCTCCTTAGGAAGCAGCCTGCTACGACTCAATATATTATCTATTTTTATATTATTCGCCTACCATTTTCTGAATTTATTTGTAATTCATTAAATTTTGTTAGTAAGTCTTTGTTATCGCCTAAAAAGTATTAAATATTAATTGTTTAGTATATATAAAAAGATAACGTTGCTAATTCTCCACATTTCGGGGTTCAGAAGAAGAGTTAGTAGATGATAAATTCAATAACTTGCGGATGAAATTACCTTCAAAATTATTACTTATTGTTGATGATGCACTATTGCTTTTCTGATTAGTACTTGATTTATCAAAATCATCAACTAAAAATAGAAAGAAATCAATTAGTATGTAATATTTTATTTAAATGATGATTTAATCACTTTACTTACTATTATCAGGAATATGAAAATCATGTGGTTTACTGTGAAATTCTAAATTACATATAGTATATAAATTAATTATACTATTTCTCATAAGTAAATAATTTCAAAATACTGTAAAAATCTTACCTTCTTGTTCTTCTGTTATTGTAAATTAAATAAAAAGAAACACATTACATATAATAATTTTTAATATAAAAGACAAATACTATATATATAATGCTCAAATACCTTCAGTTGCATTTCTTGGTTCAGGAAAATTTTCAAATTGGTGAATTTTACTTGTAAATAATTTGTTATATGTATTTGTAAAACCTGATTCTAAATTATTAGTTATATTGGTTTGAAATGATTCATTTGGCATGTTTTGATATGATAAATCAATTTCTCTTATTTTTCTTAGAAGTTCACTGATATTAAGTCTTTTTGATGGATCGGCATCCCAACATTGTACAATTAAATTTTTATATTCTAAAGGAGTTCCTGATACTATTCTTGGCCTTATACCATTAATTATATTCATTGCAAGATCATAATCATGTTCATAATTAATAAATGGTGGTTGTCCAGATGAAACCTCCCACATAAGCATTGCAACACTATAAATATCAGATGCTGTTGTAGTTTGTTTTCCAGAAATAACCTCAGGTGCTATATAGGGAAGATTTCCATATATACTTTTTGTTGGTTTATCTGCAGGGCCACAAAATCCAAGATCACTAATATGCCACTTATCACTTCTTGGAGAATGTAATATATTTCCAGAATGCAAATCTCTATGAATTATATTTTTTTCATGAATATTATAAACTGCTTCAATTATTCTTTGAACAATAAAAATTTTTACTTTCCAAGTAAGTTGATTATGATTTTGTTGCAAATATTTTCTCAAATCCATATCCATTTTACTTATTACAAGCATATAATTTTTTTTTTAATGGATCTTGAGTTAAGCCAAAACACTGAACAAATTTTGCATCTTTATTGCTGATAGTTAAATGCGATTTAGCCTATAAATACAAAAATACAGAAATTACTATTAGTAGAAACTTTTGATAACTTAAAATTATAAAAATGTTTTACAAACCTCTTCAAACCAATTTTTGTTTGTATTTTCTACATTTCCTAATCTTTTAAGTATTACTTTTATATTACCAGATTTTTCTAATTTCTTTTCTTTAAAATTCCATACTTTATATTTTCCACCAATCCATTTTGCTGTATAAATTTCAGAAAATCCACCTTTTGTTAGATATTTAATATTTTGTAATTTATTATATGGTATCCATTCAATTACCACGTTTGGTCTAATTGTTTCCAATTGACATTTTTGTATTAAATCATCAATATCATCATTTCCAGATGTCCAATTGGAAAATTCTGTTTTTAAATAATTTCGAATACAAACTTCACAATATGATGTAGCCAAACATTCTTGATTACAATTCTCACAAATTCTTTTTGTTCCTGAATTATGAAAAACTTTTTCTTTGTCATACTTTTGGTTTATTATTTTTATTGCTTCAGTTTTTTCATCTTCTGTAAGGGAATTATCAGCAAGAAGTTTTTGTTTTCGAAATTTAAGTTGTTTATGTATGTTATTGTAAATATTATAATCTATTAATGCTTTTGATCTATTAAGTGCTGCTTGAACTTTACTTATATTAGACATAATAAAATTTTATTATAAAATATTTAATTTGTTCAGTTATTCATTTATAAACTCCGAAATATTTATTAAATTAATCGTGTAACCACAATTCAAATCACGCGTGAATACAGATTTACAAGTGCGCCAGCAAGCAATTTTATTGGTGCATCGTGCATATTATTTCCCGTAAGTCGTACCAAAAAATCTTAGGATTTTAGGATTCAAATTTATTATAATTCAAAAACACTTAATCAAAATTGAACCAAAACTATTTTACGTTATAATTAGTTTGATACGTTTCTCACGCAAGAAATACAACAGAAAATTTCACAATTGTAATCACTCTACAATCATCTGAAATATGAGCTTGTAAGGCATTAGCAAGAAGAAACACATAATAACTAATTGCTGTGACATATTTAGCGTAGATTATTTATTCAACAGCAAATAAAAAGAATTATTGGAAGGATTTTTAACTAAATCATCTCATAGAGTATATGGGTTTTTATTACTTGTTCATGCGTTGAAATGATGTAATAAATATTAATAATATCAATTATTTCGAAAAAATGTTGATTTAATTTGGAAAGAATATTCATTGATACGTTATTTAATTATTTTAAAAATTTGTATATACAAATAAATAAATATTCATAACGAAATAATGAATGGAATATACAATATTTTTTCGTAAAATATTTATTTCAAAAAAAAAAAAAAAATACGATAATATGATAGATAATAAATTAATTATGAATTTAGATTGTTAAATCATTGATACTATCCCAGTAAATAGTTTTTGTATAAATTTATACAAAACGGGCTCATTGGCTCGAAATTAGCTCAAATTTATGCAAAAAATAAGCCAAATTTAAGCCAATCTAGAGCCAATCATATATGGATGAGCCCATTTGGTACAAATTTATACAAAAACTATTTACTGGGTATATAGTGATCAATTGAGTAAAGTTACAATATTAATATTTGTTAAAGACAATTTTTTTTGTTTATAGTGTTCAAACCATAATCAAACCACGACAGAGAATTAAATTTTGTGAAAATAAATGTAACGAACATCAAAGCCACATAATTCGACTTTTTCTATCGAAAACTGGATCGTGTTAATAGAAAAACAAATTAATTAAATCAATTAAATTTCGATATATAATAATTAATTCTTTTTTTTTTTAAAAAAAAAGTGTCTTTTTTAGTATAGACGTTTTATATATATTTTAATAAAAATAATCCATAGTGATTTTATTATTACAATTAATTTTTTGGGCGTCTTAATCTAAACAATTCTAGTTATTATATATTTTATTAGCGTTTCAATCATATCGAAATATGATGATAAAAAAAAAAAATTATATTTCATAACAATTTTTAAAAAAGATTTGGTAGGTTCAATTCATTTAAAACTTTAAATAATGAACGATTTTTATGATGGTAAAAGTCGTTAATCTTATTTTACATCACGTTCAAATTTTCTTAACTTGTTGCTATAGGTTACGATTTAAGAGAATGAAATTCCAATTTCTTCAAAATTGATGATGACTGGTGATCAGGTTCAGTTATGGTTATAAAGTATATAAATTTTTAGTTCAGATGAATTAATTTCTTATTTGTAAATCAAATTTTGAAGAGAAAAAGATTAATAGATACTGTATGCGTGATCAAATTTTAATGGGGAATAACAGATGCTTTACAAGAACGAATCAAGAACGAATCAAGAATGAATTAAGAAAACATATAATTATTGGTGTACAGTATCATGGCGACGAGATAAGTCGTTCGATCTGATTTTGGATCTGTAGTAGCAATCGCCCCAGTTTAGTTAGTTATAATATTGGTTTAAATATGGGGTTTGTGATATTATTAGAATATTTGATATCGATATCATCAGATATAATTGTAGGTAAAGAAGAATATAATCTTGAAATATTCTGATCACAAAGAGTACATTAAGAATGTACATTAAGAATTTGCGTCCATTGCAACTCGAATCTCGATGACTTTAAATTTTTAAAATATGAAAAAAATTTTAAAAAAATTTAATAATATCATTGAATCAAAAATATTTTTTTTTGAAAAAATATACTTTTTACAAATTGTACTTAAAAAATATTTATTTTTTTATATAAATATTTCACCTTAAAAAAATTTTTTTTTTTTTTGTGATGCGTATAAAATCTACATATATGATTACATATATAATTTTTTTTTTTTTTTTTTTT